ATTTTTATACTTTACATTTTTGCCATTTTTGGGTGTAACTGGGACCTTGAGTACACGATTTCGTTCCACCTCATGTACCACATGTGATACGAATGACAATAAAGAACCTTGAACCTTGAAAATGAAATAAAAAAACAAAGTTTCATTAATTATTCATCCCTGATATAAAATAAAAATGGAAATCTATGTCAGATAGACAGTTATCCACACGGGTTCTCTTGGATGCTGTTGACACACATGCAGTTTACACACATGCAGTTTACACATCCAGACACAAAGTGGCAGTATCACTGTGTGAAGACATATCTGAGCTGCAAAAAATGTCACTTCAAGCACAAATCAAAGTTATTCACAGCAACATCTAAACCCTCACCGAGGAGGGCCAGAACTACTCATGGAAACTCTGTGGCTCAGCAGACTGAATCTAAGCCTCCTTTGACTGCAAGGATCTCTAAATATGGCTGATCGCACAGATGATAATCATATGGGACATGAATGACTGCTTTAATTTTTACTTGCCAACTTTTATTGGCTAATATTTTGTCTGACAACAGCAGAGGAATTTAGGCACGTTTCTCACAACTACGACAACAAATGGAATAAAATGTGGGATAAAAAAAATGGCTTTTTTGTAGCTAAAGTAAATATATAAGAGAACAAAATTGTATAAGTTTGACAAATATGCAAATATATTAATATAAAATCATAACAGTATGCACAAAACTGCTCATATTTAAAGAAAAACTGTGATGTATACAGTGGAAATGTTATGAATGCTCTCTGGTGGTCAAACTAAAGACTGGCAAGACTTATAATGTTCTAAATGTGCTATTTACATAAGCAATATTGTAGCATTTCATTTTACCAAAAAAGAACTAAACACACGTTGCGCAAACTTTATATGGCGATAAGCCAATCATTAAAATGAACTTTTAGCTAGTCAGCAAACCTTGATTGGGATGTGGGCAGAGCAACGACCATCCAAAGAAAAGTTGTCAAACAAGTAATGAAACTGAAAATAAAATAATAAAACCGATATTTGACTTGAATCAGATCATTTTGAATTTATATTCTTTTGACTGATAAATGAATTACAAAAACATAGTAAATAAAAAACTGCTGAAAGACAGAAAAACATAAGAAATGAACGCTAATGATGAGTCTTTCAAAACAGGATTTTTGTTGTTATTGTCATTTTTAAAATTACAGTATGTTCTAAATTCTATAAAATATTTTTTGGGGAAAAAGTCATTCATATTTATATAAATAACTGACATATTTTCTGAAAAGCATGGTCAAATTATGCCTTTTTTCATAAATGTAACCTGTGCTGGCAAAATGAGATGCAAAGAGGGATTTTTCCATTTTGATTTAGTTTTATTGTAAAATAATTCTCCATCTCAAAAGCTTCAAAATTGTTGGTTAAAATTTGGCGATTTGACACCAGGCTAGCAACAAGCTAGCTTTGTTTATGAGGGTGCTGGTTAGAAAACAATTTTTATTTGTTTAAAGCAATGTCATTGGAAATTCCAGCCCTATATTTAAAAAATGGGAATCCCCAAGCTTCACAAAGACATCAAACTTTATACGAAGGGATTTCCCAGCTCTGCAGCTGCCAGCAGAGAAAAATGTAGACGTACTTATTGGAAAACTTTGATTAAAGGGAAATTAGAAAGAGTGTATTAGATTTTGGGGTCCCTAAATTATATTTTTATAGACTCATTTCTACACAAATCTCAATTTTGATAAATCTCAATGTTTTCACTTATTTTGCACAGCAGCTTGTGCTCATTCTAACTTATTTAGCCATCATCGGTGACAAATAATGACCAAGACCAGCCCTTCACAAGGACCAAGTTTTTAATTTTGGGCTCTGTGTAACTGATTTTGACACCCTGATTTACTTTATGTCAATGGTTGCACACCTTGGTCCTCGGGATCTCCTGTTTTGCATGTTTTAGATGATGTTCAACACACCTGAATCAAACAAATGAATCATAAAGACTTCTATACAACTTGGTAAGCTGCCAAAAAGAAAATATAGAAAAAGACAGTAAGGACGGTGTGTTGGTATCAGACAGTTATACTGTAAGTTCATCAAAAGGTGAATCAAACCCAAGAAAACAACTCAATTCAATAAAAAAAAAAAAAGACAGACAGACAGATAGCAAACTTAAGTCACATGAAGACTTGGCAATTATTTTTACACCGGAAGCCCTTCCTGACGCAACCACAGACCACCGAGCTACCACAGCCCCGATGTGTGGAGCAGAGCTGATATCTAGGACATCAGGGAGAGCAGATGGTTGGGGTTAAGGGCCTTGCTCAAGGGCCCAAGGTGGGGTAACTGAGGGTGGAGGCAGGTGTGAATGCTTCACCTATCCCACGGTGGTACCGGGAGTTGAATTGGTGATCTTCCAATCACAGGCCCACCTTCTCTAACCTCTGCACCACCACTCCCATTGGTAGTGCTGTACTACATTCATGATTAATCTAGATTTACGTTTACATACACATCTAAGCATACATACACATATACATACATATGCATAGATCACAAAGATCTATAGATTACAAAGTACATTTAATTGGACAAAAACACAAACTTGAGGAAGGAAATATATTTTTAAGTGAAGGGGACCTGTTGCTGGTGATATGTAGTCCAACTTGAGGGTAATATCAGTAAAATAGCAAAAGTTTTTCAGTTTCTCTTTTTGTCCCATTCATCATAAATGGGGGTATTTTAATAGCAAAACATGTGGTAGTTAGTTGCACCTGTGCCATTCCAGTTTCCCCCTCTTCTCTGTCTAACTTTTCAGGTTAAAGTTCTACCCTCATTCTTACCTACCTCACTTTCTTGTACTTCTACCTCTCTAATTTTACTTTGTCCCCTTCCCTCAACAATAGTCCCCCAATTTTCATCTCTGCTTTAATTCACTGTCCCTCCTTCCCTCCCTCTCTAGGTTAGCCTCATTCAGAACAAAGCTTTTGTGATTGGCCAGTATTTATATCAAGTGGGTCCCTGCGCCACATGGGACAATGGTCTCCAGTCAGATCCAGGTCACATCAAGCAGAACCATCCTCTGTTCTCTGCGTGGATCAGCCCCGTCCAGAGTCCAGAATGGTTCATTAGTAGCACAGTTTATCTCCACTGAGAAAGACAGGTATAATGCACTGCCTCGGCTACTCACCAGCTCACACACAGGTAGGCAGACACACATACGCCAGCAGGTGCAGCATCACCGCCACACACAGGTAGATAGTGGGAGATCTGGCTCTTACCTGGATGATGCACACAAGTTTTATTCCAACAAAACTTGCCTTTAAACCTGGACACGCTCTGTTAGTGAAAGTTTCTGCAAACAGGATGACAGGCAAAGGTAAGTGGATTTACATTTCTAAATACATTATTTTGTTATACAGCTGTATTTGTCTAGGTATGTATATAAAAACAAGCTGAGCAGTATGTTAGAGATGGTTAAATGTGCACACAAATAGCCTCACAATAATCATTAAAATGGCCACTTTTAGAAGTGTGGCAGACTGAATTACCTTGACTCCTTCTGAATGTAAATACACACCAGGATACAGATATTATTAGCTGGTCAAATGTAGGCTAACATGTCTCAGTGCTGGGACCCACTCAGCATAAGTGTTTCACAGTTACTGGAGTAGTTTACACAGGATTACTAGAGGATAATCCATTTACAGTATTTAGAGACATTAGTCGCCATCTGTCTTGTATTTATCTCAGCGAGGGAGCCGTAACCACCGACCGACAGCGAGCAAACAACCTCGTAATTTCAAGAAGAAACTGTGGCGAAAAAAGTAAGAAAATGACGCATTTAAATAAAAAAAAATATTCGTGATATTTATCCCGCTGCTGCCTGGCGGTTGGTCAAAGCTGCGCGCGCACTCTAGCCAGGGCTGAATCTGCTGCATTCATGTTCCGTCGTAAAGTCGGCTTCTACCGTATTTTAAATTTTGCGTTCCAAATCTAACCTGACGTAAATTATTATTTTTGTCGTGTCGAAAGTAAAAACGAAATCGAACGTCTCTATGTTATGCACGTTTAACGAAAGTGAGCAGAAATGTAAGTCTTTGAATCAAGGTTAAGTTAATTTGGATAATTAACTTAGCTAGTTGAATAGACAACAACTTATTGTCTAATACTAGCTTTAGCTTTTAGTTTGACATATAAGATCTAAAGCTTAACAGCAGAATTAATAACATTAGATTGTCTGTCAACCTATAAGAGTGGTGTAATTTAAAGCGCAGTTTTGTATTTAATACACTACATGCCGGTGTTCTGGAGTGGCGATTTTTACGAGTGTACGTGAACGTACAAGACAGGTGATTGTGAATACCTGTGAGAACAGAAGTACCTGCATGCGACTGGTGTTTATTCGACGTTTGTCACAATTGGAAACCTTCCACGTGCACTAGTTTGAGTAGTCCTAAAGGTTTGTGAATGTATTTTTGCAGCAAGTGAGTTGTTTTTCAGTTTTAGTCGACTGAACACATTTGGGAGATTTTCTTTGACCAAATTCAGTTCGATAAAGGGAAACAAATCAGCTCAGTTATTGTAGCATTGTAAATGAATGTGTTAAAATGATAGTATTAGTTTATTCTGTCATTTGTGATAGCCTATTTTTTATTATCTTGTTCATTCTTGCCAGATCACCTTAATGACTTTATTGTAGGCATCTTCCTTTTTCTTGATTTTGTCTTTCAGAATTAAAGAAGTGAAGAAATGGTGATTAGAAGGACCTAAGTCTAAGAACGTCCCATCCTTGAGCTCATCTTTGCTGGCTGAAGTTATTTTGTTCAAAACAAAAACAGCCTTTGCTATGAAGCACCTCTAGCCTTAATCCAACCACTGCACCAGCATATCCTCAGATATTATCTACCTTTTCAGCTTTTTTCCAGGCATTTCCTAAAGCAGCCAACAACCTCTTTCTCTGCTTCTATAGCTTTCGTCCTAAAGACTTCATTTTAAGATGATGCGACCAGACAACAAAGGCCGAAGTGCATCTCCTCATAGGATAACGTATAAATCAGACTTTCATACCATCAAATGCTCATTTGACACTGGGGTTAGTCTACAGCCAAGGACCAAAGCAGCAGCTGCCATCCAGGGCTCTGCAGCACATCTAAACGTGCTGCTGTCCAACCTGACGGATTCCACAGCGCCCAACGCCAGTAACAGCCGAGGTCGGATCCAAAGCACCAGGGGGCCCAAGCTCCGACAGAACATTTTCCTTCAAATGGACAACCAGCAGTCAAGGCAAGATGGTGCTCCAGTCCTGAGTTCTGGCTCCACACCTTTCCTTGCTCCATCAAAGCCTGGCTTCCAGCTCCACAGTTCACCTTTCTCTATACCCAGATGCTCAGTCGCCAGCTCCTCATCTGTAATGAGCAGTGTGACCAGCGTTTCTTCCTCAGAAACGCCACTGCGAGGCAAACTGTCCAGAGCAGAGGAAATAGGAGATATTGACAGAGTTGCTCTAGCTCAGAGGTTTTCTGTAGCCCGGAGGTTGTTTGAGGCCAAGATGGTGGAGGGTGGAAGTTGTGGAGGACAGTCTGTAAAACCTCTGATTGGCAGGGGAGGTGTGGAGGCTGCAGATGGGAGGAGGGAAGAGGAGCAAGAGGCAAGTGGGAAAACGAGGTGCACAGAGGAGGACGAGTCAGAGAAGGATAAATCCATAAACCATATTTTAAATGTTTCCACACTGACGCCATCACTGACAAGGTACCCTAAATCTACACTGAACGGCTCTGGTGAAGCACACGACAGATACGATAAAACCACAGATTTACCAACTGTGGTTGAGAGGGGAGATGGAGCAACTCTTAACTCCTGCTTGTCTTCTGAGGAATCGCTGAGGGCAGAACTCGTCGATTTAAAGAATGATTCTTCCGAGAGTGATGAGAATGAGGAAGAAAAGGTGTGGAAAGAGGTGGGCACACAGTGGATAAGGAGCATGCGCAAAGCTGATGGAAAACGTGTGGAGGCTCTAATTGACAGTGTTTTTGAGGAAACACCCAGGCTTCTGAAGAGTGTGGCGCTCAGAGCAGGAGAAGATGGTTCAGTCATTTCTTCAGAGGACATGCAAAGAAACGGACTCACTGAGGATGGTGAAGGCAGAAGAGACGAGTATCAGCAGGTTCGTGAAGAATGGGAAGGTAAGAGAGAGGAGCAGAGCAGACACTTTCCTGTGCAAGATAAGTCAATGGAAGAAAGAGACGGCATGGAGAAAAAGACACATGCTGGATCAGGAGATGGTGTCAGGTTGGAGAAGATTCTGATCCGAGAGGTAAATGTTGACAAGGATGTTAAAGAAAACGTACAGCATGAAGATGGAGACGATGAATCAAGGCGGTGTCAAAAAGGGGCAAGACGAGAAGGTCAAAGTGTGAGAGAAACAGGAACGCCAGAGCTTGTCCCTGATGAGGTGAAACATGTGGCAATCAGAGGAGGTGGTGAGGGAAATTATTGTACTTTAGAAGGTAAAGAGGACCAAACGTTAATCTCTGGGATTGAGAATAAAGCTTTTGTGTACAATCAAGATTCCCAGTCCCACATAAAGCTTTCAGAACCCTTAAGGCTGGAAGAAAAAAGCTCCCTGCAGAGAGATGATCGACTATTAGTGGGATACGAGGAAATTCCTGGTGTGCCTGAACTGGAGGGTCATGATCAGGATGGATCTGAGGCTGCGAAGAGGAAGGTCCGGTTCTCCACAACTCCTATCAAGGTAGGAGGATACAAATCTTACACGTGGAATTGTTGCTCCTTTATTACAAGTCTACTTCTTCAGCCAGAGAGGCATTTATAATAAACGTGCATCTGTCAGTTCCAGCAGCTGTTTGTATCTGTGGAAAAAATACCCCAAAAGCATGTTTTTAATCTATTAAGGGGAAAACAGATGAGTGTACATGCCCCACTATGTCAGCAACAAGCTCAGAGCTGCCTTTACGTATAGGTACTCACTGTAAAGTATGAAATCAATCATAACTCAGGTTATCCTAACACATGGTACAGTTTGAAAGAGCCTAGTAATTTTTCACATGTATTCACGTACAATTCTGTTATACAGGTTTGCACTCAATGTAGACAAAGCACTTTTATATGTATTTGAATCAAGTCTGAACATTAATGCATTTCATTCAAAATGTCAAAATTGTTGGATTTCTTGATTTTAAACGGCGCTTTCGTGGACGCCACCATTATTGACCAACTTTTAGTCCCTTCTGCTATTTTTTGTAGGTAAACAAAGGCCTGTGGTAACTGGCAGCTATTCAAAAAAATGTATGCTTATAATTTTTTAAGGACATGGTAGTTATCATTATGAGGGGAAAAGTGTCAGGTTTTGTATTTTTAAGTGGTTGTTGGTCTTTGACATTGCAATGAGTATCCGTAATTAAAAATACAACTTGAACAAAAATGTTCTGGATTCCAACAGCAATCTAAAGTAGTAGCGGTCTGTTATTTTTGTGAAAGTAGTGTTGGACGCTTGACATTTTTAGCATTCCTATAATTGTAGCATATGCTCCGCGTAAGACTACGCAACCGAGTCTGTCGCCTCTCACTCCATCACTGACAGATTCCCAGGCATAAACAGTCTTGGGGTGTCAAAAGCTGCAGATGGTTCTTTTGACAGTTGGCCCATTTATTAAATGTGACTGCATAAAACAGCAGACTTATCAGGCCTTTTTTAATTGGTGTTTATCTAATCTGCAGCCACTACTGGGCCTTTTAACTGAACATTTCAGGTGTACAGCATGTATTCCAACGCCGAGTATAACAGATGCAACGAGGACATCGACCCAGTGTCTGCTTCAGCTGAGTTTGAGCTGGAAAAGAGAGTGGAAAGGATGGATGTCTTTCCAGTGGAAATAGAAAAAGGTTTGTATCTACATGCATTTTATCTATTTATTGTTCACCAGTGAATGCACAATTTATGTACGGCTACATTAAAATTGGAATGAAACTCATTGAAGATGGTCGCCACAGTTAATCAACTATAGCTGCGTTCCGCAATTCAATCCCCAACAAGGTCTTTCATTCCATGAGATCAGACATAAAGTCACCTAAAAAAAATTTTTTATCAGTCTTTTTGTTGAAATTTTCTTTCAGAACGCACACACACACAAAAAAGAGAAGAGAGAAAACATACAAAACAAATCCCCACCCACACCGGATCAGTCACACAGACAGGTATTGACATATTTTCAACATAGGACATAAATGGCTGCTATGTGTCTCATCATCTCAACAGAACCTTTCAGAGGATATCTAGTCTTTCCAGATGAGCATGATATAACTTCTCCAGTTTTTATATGCTGGGGATGCAGATCTTTCCGTCTGGATAAAACAAGTCTCTTAACAAGAAGAGAGCCAAAAGCAATCATATCCCTCTCTTACTTGTTGAAGGATTCATCCACAGGGGCCACCCCAAACGATAAGATGACTGGTGCACAGTTTTTCCACATTTCCCAGAGAAAGTATCAAAAATAGATTGCCAACAGCTCTGCAGCTTTGGACAAGTACAGACTGTGTAAGAGCACAGCTAGAGTTTGTTTACAGTGATTACATGCGGGGTCCAGGTCGGCTTTGATCTTGGACAGTTTGTCTTTGGACCAAGTCACCGATAAAGTTTGACAAAATGAGCTAAATCTCTGTTTTCTCTCTCATTATACGGTGATCGTAGTTTAAAATTCTGACATGAAAAGTGTCAGGCGATATGCGTTCTTTGAAGCGTTGCTTGACCTTTTATTTTAGCTGAATTTATATTGGTTTACCTGAAATTGGTATTTTGGGCGGCATTAGCTCAGTGGTCAGCGCCACGGTCTTGTAATCCTGAGGCTGCAGGTTCGAGCCCAGGTTGTGTCAGGATGCATCCACCGTAAAATAATTGCCAAATATTTTTGTGCAACTTTGCTCGTTCTGGCAACCCCTACGCTGAATGAAAACCAACTTAATGTAGCATCTCATGTCTAGTTTAGAAACCATTTTAAGAGTCTTTCCATAAGCAGTTTGTATTCTTGCTGGCTTTAGGAGAGGATGGACTGGGCATCAGTATCATAGGAATGGGTGTGGGGGCTGACCAGGGACTGGAAAAACTGGGAATCTTTGTCAAGACAATCACTGAAGGAGGAGCAACACACAAGGATGGAAGGTAAGAGTCCACTTCTGTATGTGTATGTGTTTGAAGGTCAGAAGCAAAGAGTGAGAGGTTTTCTTGTGTTCCTGTGATAGGATTCAGGTGAACGATCAGATCGTGGAGGTGGATGGTGAGAGTCTGGTTGGAGTTTCTCAACTGTTTGCAGCCACAGTTCTCAAGAACACGTCGGGCTTCGCCAAGTAAGTCGCTGTGACAGTGAGGTGTTGGTTGATTTTGCTCTCTTTCAGTTTTTATTTATGTAATGTAAAAAAAAACAGTTTCTGCATTATGTTCCTTTGCTCGCTCTACAAACAATTACATATTTGAAAAAATAGAACACAGATTTTTCTGTTTTCTTAAAGAATTTGTCATCACAGTGATGTTGAAACACGTAAATTTAAACAAGTCCCTCTGAAAAGCAATCCCAACACATTATTCACAGTTCGTTCTACAACTTCTAAAGCGTCTTTTTATTTTTTATTTTTACAGAATTAAAGTTATTTATGGATAAACTGACAATAGGATAAAAATAAACTGACTCCCTCGCTTTTTTTTTTTTTTTTTTTGTTAAAATGACATCTAAGTGCAGGTTTTATCATTCGATACAAAGAAGTACCACTGATGCCTACACAGAATAAATATAAAATCTGTTCTGGTGTGGCTTCAATTGTCCCATTAGCATGAGGTGGATCATTTTAGATAAAGAAAAAGCTTTAAAAAAAAAAAAACAGGTCCTCTGGACGGTTTCTTTTTTTGTTGAAAGGTTTCGTCCTTCATCCAAAGGACTTAATCAGTCCAAGGAGCCACAACAAACTCTGTCTCATAGGTGGCTTACTCACATAGTGGGCCAACCAGTTTGACTAGTCTGGAGTCCACCCTCTCCCCGTCGACTCCTCTGAGGCAGCCATGGCCAAAGTGGTTAAAAACATCAAAGTTCATGCTCAGTAATCCAGATACAAAAATCCAGAAACCATCTTATCACCATCAAACTAGTTGGCCCACTATGTGAGTAAGCCACTTTGGGACCGAGTTTGTTGTGGCTCCACACCCTTTCAAATATCCCAGATAACACCACGCCACACACAAGATGCATTAATTTATCCATACAACTCCCCCAACAAAGCTGTTTCACAAAACATAAATTATGACTGTGTGTGCACAGAGCAACACTTTTGATAAATCAGTGTATCTAAAACTAAAGTAACCTGCTGCAACCAGTTTGTACAGTTTAGTTAAGTGAGAATCCTATAGCCAAAACATAATAGAAATAAATCTGTGCTATAGATGTCAGTGGATACTTGATTTTCTAAAGCTCAGCCAAACAAAGCGCATCTGTTGACCTCTACACAAACGTTAGATTGCTCACACGTGTCATTGATCTGTATGATCTGCAGGTTTCTGATTGGTCGAGAGAAGGAAGGGGTGGAGAGCGAGGTGGCCCGATTGATCAATGAAAGCCTGGAAATGGAAAAAACAAAGGTGTGTTTTGGCTGTGAAGGTTAAATCCTGACCTAAAACCCTAAACATTTATGAGAATGGTTCTGTTTTTTTCTCGTCTTTACATAAAGGGAGAGAGCCGAAGCAGTGGAGATGAGGGCGACAGTGACAACATGTCAGAGACGGACTCAGTCTTTGGAGAGGAAGAAGAGGGCGATGATGAGGAGGAAGATGTGTCCGCTCTGTCCAGTCTTGAAAACTACGAACTCTGTCTGAAATACCAGCAGGTGCTTCATCAGAAAGTTACCACTAAACACTCAGAGAGCACTTTAGTCGTTTCTAAACATGATTCATTAAAAGTGTGCTCTGAATCTGCAGAATAGTAAAACTAAGTCACAATTTTTCTTTCCCTTTTAAACTGTGCTCATAGCTTCAGTCAAAATTACGCAGCAGAACGACTCATCTTCTCTGCAGCAGAGAGAAGGTAGGTAACTCAGTTGGTATTATCTCTCTCTCTCTCACACACACACACACACACACACACACCAATAATTGTACTCGTTTAAATGTGCTACCTTTGTGTCCAAATTTGGAATCTGTCTGACCCATTTAACTGTACGAGACGTCTCGGCATGGCGTTATTGGAACACGGGCCGTGTTCCAACTCTTCACCACGTCAGGGCTGTTTTTCTGCCACAGCCATGATAGAATCATCACCGTGACATAACTGGGTCGGCAAAAGCTTTTCAAGAAATCTCTATAAATATGGCTTTCATCTAGCCAACTATGTTAAATATAGAATTATTCTTTGAAATGACTAGAAGCTCTTTATTTTTATCGCCTGAAGGAAAGGTGATGTTTTTGCCTGCATCTCTTTTTTTTTTTTTTTAAACAAGTGAAAATAAAATGGTAATGAAAAAGATAATTAAAAGGTAAAGTAGCGACAAGACAGCTAGATTTTTAGTATTCTACACTGCCTTTATAATCTAGCTGTTTTTTGCTACTTTTCCCTTTAATTATCCTTTTATTTTCACATGTTAAAAAATAAATAAATAAATTCCTACGCATCCTTTATGATTGTCTATTGTTGTCGTCATCCACTGTTGTCATCACTCTGTTAAAAATCATGCCTCTCTTGTAAATGAGTCTCCGAGGCTCAGTGGGATTAACCCGTCTAAATAAAGGTTGAATGAATCTGTGTGTTAATTTGTTGCTGACAAAATATCTCATAAACCCACCTGCTTCGAATGTTATCAGCCATTAAATGGCTTATTATCAGTTATCATCCCCATATGTAGCGTTCAGCCTGCCCCTCCTGTACCTCCTAGTGGGTTTAAAGGTACGTTGTTAGCATGGTTAGCGCTGATAATAGGCTCACGTGGTTGGGTTCAGAGTAAAGGGTCTGGGGGTTAGGTTTAGGAAAAGAGTTACATAAAGCTGACAACAACAAAAAAAACACTTTGTGTTTTACCCACGTGAAACACATGCAACGTTGCATATTATCAACAATACAAACAAAACTTTGGCAGCACGACAGCTCGGTGGTTAGCACTGTTGCCTCACAGCAAGAAAGTCCTGGATTCAATCCCCGGTTGGACCTGGGGTCTTTCTGTGTGGAGTTCACATGTTCTTGTGCTTGTATGGGTTTCCTCCCACAGACTAAAAAACAAACATGCATGTTAGGCTGCCTTCAGGCCCAGGCCTCCCTTGCAAAAGAGATCTGTGATCTCAATGCCTGGTTAAATAAAGGTTAATAAAACTGCAAGGAGGTATGAGGGACAATAACATCCATTTAATGGGCTGATAACATCCAAAGCTGCTGATAAACCACTGGACTAGTTTTATTATTGCTTCCAGAAATTAATCATTGAGTGTACATTTTTAACAGTCCATTTCAAGATGGCTGCCACAGCTTTTCAACCTTTGCCTGTAGTAAAATGGCTAACTTAGTTGGATTTACAGATTTTGATCTCTCAATATCGTGCAATGTTTGACCAAAATTACTGTAACGCCAGAATTTCTCAGCACAAGCTGATGGTCTAAAACTCTGGCAGGTGATTGCCACGCTTTTATCTTTGTTGGTGTACGGTCTTTCCTTAAACCGCTGTGCTTTGAACAGTTTAAAGCCTTGGAGAAGCAGCAGGCCCGCTGGCAGAGCCAGAAGGCCGAGTTGGAGCAAAGAGCTCGAGATGGAGAGCAGAGAGCTGACAAACTGGAGAGGTACATTACATCCATCGTAAACATCCGTCATGGATGCATTTTGTAGAAGCTGACTATAGGCTTCAATCAACAGTATCTGATTGCTGCAGTTTGTTGAGGTGGTAATGAAATGTGTTCTGAATATTAAGTTACTGGCAGGAGGCCCAGACTCTGTGCGGAGTTGTGAGCCAGCGATTAGCCGATGCCCAGAGCCAAACGGAGAGCCTGGAGAACAAATACAGCAAGGCCAAAAGACTGGTCAGAGAGTATCAGAGCAGGTATGTAGGAAATGCACTAACTTTTTAGTGTGATAGAAACAAGTGTGTGAGATAAATGTTCTTAAAATATCTTCCAAAGGGAAGAAGAGAGGGAGAAAGAACTGGTCGATTTGAGGAGAGAAATGGACGAGAAAGACAAGCGGCATAGGGAGACTGTTGAACGGCTGCACATCCAGGTGACAGGAGACGTCTGTATGGATTTATTTCACTAAGCCTGTGGTTTTGCTGTTAATGTTTTTGTTTGTTTATCACAGATGGCACAACTAGAGAGAAAAGAGGCTGATCCTGAGAGGAAGAACCGCTCTGTGAACCCTTCAGTCACAGGCAAGCAGGACTAATATTAGTTGGTGCCTGTTTAGCTGTGGATCTGCTCACTCGTATTATAGTTTAACAGTTTGTTGCGATGAGAACATGAATGGAATCCTTCAAGCCCTTTTTGGAGTGTACTTCTAAATGATTGGAGGTGTTTGTTTCAGACTGGTATGTTCCAGTTCCTGATACGGGCCGTTTGGACTCTAGCGCTCACATAGCCAGAGCTCAGCTAGCTCAGAAATCAAAGCGCCACCCGCCTTCACGAGAAAAGCTCAGGGAGAGCTTCAAAAACCAGGCAAGACATATGGAAACAGCAACAGCAGTGCACTGTAAACAAGTTTTTACTGTCCAGTCCTCCTTTTTTCTGTAGCAGCAGGAAGTTGTCCTTCAGCAGCAGGACAGCCAGTCTCTGCCAGCGTACACCATGGTCCAAAGAAACAGGAGTGATCTGTCCAGCTTGTCTTCGTTCCCAACGTTCAACCCTCAGAGCACCACCAGTTCCCTGCTAACCCCTCCTGTTTTCATCAATCATACCGTTACCCCCTCGCTGTGCAAATCTGCAGCATCCAGAAAATCTAAAAAGAAATTTCCAAACTTCAGGTGAAGGGCCTCATCTTTTCCTTTTTTGACAGGAAACTTCTGTTTTTTCCCCAGAAATGGGAGTTTTGCAGTATACGGTACAAAATTTCTACCCAAGTACTTTAATTAACCATAATTTCATTTTTAGTGGCCTTCGTAAGTCTCTCGGCAAAAGGAGAAGTGAAAAACGCAGCAGAACATCCACCAACAGCAGGTGTGAAACTGTCATAACAACATTTCACACTTTCACATAAAAAACATTGTTTGATTGAAATGTAGAGCCTTTCTGAAAAGCGAGCCAAACTCTTTAAATACCACACCACCTGAGATCTCACTTTGGTTTTCATTTAGTCAGTTTTTATTCACACAAAATACTCAAATTAACTTTAACAAGATTAATGGGAAAAATGAGGTTTCATTTCAACATTAAACTAGAGAAATTGCATTTCCTGCCTAAATGCAGTGTGAATGCTTATTGCAGAAGTACGTGCTGAAATTGGGTAAAAACATCCTGAAATGTAGCTGAAACGGGGAAAACAAGCCTAAATTAGCAGAAGAATGCAGAAAGCACGCATTTGCTTAATTAGGTTTAAATAAGAAGGCATTAGCTCAGAAATTAGAAAATTATCTAAAAAAAAAGAGGTCAAAATTAGAAGATAAATAGCTGAAAAGTAGTTGAAAGGCAGAAAAAGCTTAAACATCCAGAAGAAAGTGGAAAGAACTGAATTTACCAGTAGCTAAAATAAATGTGGAATTAGCAGAAAAAGCTAAAATTAGCATCAAGAGCTAAATAGTAGCTGAAATGGCAGAAAAAGCTGAAACTAGCAGAAAATGCTGAAAAGAGCTTAAAAAGCTGAAATTGGCATAAAGAAGTTAACTAAGCTGAAAGTAGCAGAATTTAACATGAAAAACTTGAATTTCTCTGAAAACAGCCAAAATTAGTGAAATACTAAAAAGCTAGCTGTAAAGGTCGAACAAGCTTAAAATAGCAGAAGAAAGCAGAAAAAAATGTTTTTCCAGTTAGGCTGAAAGAACAGAAATGAGCACCAAAAAGTGGAAATTATCTGAAAAAAGATGAAATTGGCAACAACAAAAAATGTCTGAAAAGTAGCTAAAAAAGCCGAAAAAAGCTGAAATTAGCAAAAAGAAAGTGGCTGAAAAGTAGCTAAAACTTCAAAAAGAACCTTAAGTTATCAGAAGAAAGTGGAGAGCACATTTTAGCTGAATTAGGCTGAAAATAGATGAAATCATTGCAAAAAATGTGGAATTAGCTGAAAACGATAAAATTACCATAACAGCTAAATAGTAGCTGAAATGGCAGAAAAACCTGACACGTGCATAAATAAGCAAGTGTCAGCTTGCTTATTTATGCAAGGAGCATAACAAGCTGAAATAAGTAGAAATAGGTTTGAAGCACAAAAATTTAGTTAGCAGAAATAATCTAAAAGAATCACAAAACAGCTGAAAAAACAGCTGAAGTTAGCTGAAAGTAGCTGAAAAAAGTTTAAATTTGCAGAAAGTAGCTGAACCAGAACAAACTGTTAAAGGAGCAGTAAATCTTGTAAACAGATCTAAAGGTTTGAAGGATGTAAAAATTCAAAGTATTCATTTCCTATGAGGGGGAAAAAAGTGGCAGAAAAGGCTAAATGTTTCAAAAAGCTAAAGTTGCACTAATACCAAAGTCATAACAGGATTGTTCTGAACATTTTGATATGATTTGTTGAAATGGCACAAAAATTGTGGAATGAGAACGATGCCGAAAAACATACGGAAGAAAAAAGGATCACAATAGTGTGAATGCTTCAAAAACATTCACACAATTAAGGAGGTATGGTTAGGAAAAATGAACTTATGCAACTTTGAATACATCCTGTGAAATTCCATTAATGTATACAGATTTAGAAGAACATGTTTTTCCTGCATCTTCAGAGCTTTTCTAAATAACCTAATGGAGACCATGCCTTCTGTCAGCAGGGGATCGTGTGGCGTCCTGATAGATGAGCCCGCTGAGGTTTCTCCATCAGGCTCGGTCACCTCTATGCCTTCCTGCCTGTCTCTTCCCTGGTTTGGAGACAGAGGGAGAGAAAAGGAGAAGGAAGAGGAGGAGAACAGCAGAGTGAGGTTGCGCTCTGTGTCCAGCAACAGTTTGCCTTACCTTACCACGACTAGAAGAGATCAAGTAAGGAAAAAGAAAAGCACTTTCTGATACTAAATAGACTAGTGAGTAGTAAAAACTGTAATTATTTGCAGTCTTCACAGAACTTCATGTACTTTAAATACCATGCAAATTTAACATAGAGTACACATGCATGGCTGAGCATGGTGCAGATGTAAAGTCTGTAGGTAGTCCAGGATTGTTTGTGTTGGTTCCAGAGCATTGGCTCTCCTGTGGGCTGCTCCAGCATGGTGGGTCATGTCTCTGATCATTCCCTCTCTGGAAACTCTCACACTTGCACCTTTTCTTCCTCAGAGGTGAGTCTGTCCTTCTTTTCCTCCCTTTCTTCCTTTCCAAACACACTCTTCTTTAGTAAACGTTTCCTCCTAATTATTAATATTCTCGCTCTTCCTTGGTGTCCCGCCAGACTTTGGACAATTTTCAATTTCCCAACAATAACAATCAGTGGCAGGGCCGCCCTGTGTCGGAGTGGAAGGTCCAGCAGGTGTGTCTGTGGTTAATTGACCTGAACATGGATCAGTACACATCTGAGTTCGCTGCCAAAGGAGTGGATGGAGCGCAGCTTCTAAGTATGGACAGTCAGAAACTCAAGGTGAGCTAAATATTTAAAAGCTAGAGAAAGTGCAGTGTGAATGCTTATTGCTGTAGAACTTGCTGAAAATCTGCTGAAATTAGCTTAAAAAATGCTGAAATGTAGCTGAAATGGATGAATAAGCCTAAATTAGTAGAAAAAAGCAGAAAGAAAACACATTTGCTGAATTATGTTTAAATAAGCAGAAATGAGCTCAGAAATTAACAAAAATGGCTGAAATTAGAAAAATCATTTAGCTGAAAAGTAGCTGAAAATGCAAAAAGAAGCTTAAACTACCAGAAAGAAGTGAAATGAGCTAAAAAAAAAAAAAGTGGAATTGGCTGAAAAAGCTAAAATTAAGATAAATGGCTAAATAGTGGCTGAAATAACTGAAAGCAGCATAATACGCTGAAATTTGCAGAATAATTTAATTAGACCGAAAATAGCAGAAATTAGCTAATAAAAATGATCAGAAAACGGATCAAATTAGCTAAAAAGCTACTAAAGGGGTAGCTGAAAAGGTAGAACAAGCTTAAGATAGCAGAAGAAAGCAGAAAGAACACATTTGCCCATTTAGGCTTAAAGAAGCATGAGCACAAAGTGGATATTATCTGAAAAAAGCTGAAATTAGCCACACAAAAAAAACTGCTGAAATGTAGCTAAAAAGGCAGAAAGAAGCTTAAATTACCAGAAGGAAGTGGAGAAAGCGCATTTTTGCTGAATTAGACTGAAATTAAAAAAAATAAGTGCAAAAAATGTGAAATTAGCCAAAAAGCAGCAAAAATTGGCATAAAAACAGCTAAATGGTAGCTGAACTGGCAGAAAAAGCTGAAACTTGCATAAATTAGCTGAAAGGAGCATAAAAAGCTGAAATTAGAAAGAAGTTAGAAGCACAAAAATGTTTTAGTTGGCAGAAAGAATTGAAAAGTATTACAAAACAGCTGAAAGCATAAAGGAGCTGAACCAGAACAAAATGTGAAAGAAACAGTAAAAGGTTGTAAACAGATCTAAAGATTTGAAGGATGTAAAATGAGCTCAATTCATTTTGTACGAGAACAAAAGTGGCAGAAAAGGCTAAACATGTCAAAAAGCTAAAGTTGCACCAATACCAAGTCATAGCACCCTTCTCCTGAATGAGCTGAACGTTTTGATATTTGTTGAAATAGCACAAAAATTGTGGAACGAGAAAATGCTGAAAAACACAGAAGAAAAGTGGCTTACAGTGGTGTGACTGCTTCATAAACATTATCAGGTGTGAATATTTATGAATGTTTCAATGAGACGTGTGGTTAATAAGTGCTGCTCTCGTCCAAACGTTGGTACGCTCCTTTTCAAATACGAATCCCTCAACAGTTAAAAATGATGAGCTCAGATTTTGTTTGTCATCAGCATGAGTGAATATTAAATCCTTTGTTTACACTTGCATGTCTCCTCCAGGCTCTTGGTGTTTCCAGTCAAAGTGATCGATCCGTCCTCAAGAAGAAGCTGAAGGATATGAGACGAGAGGAGAAGGAACAGAAAAAGGACAAGAAGCTAAAGGAAGGCAAAGACAAAGTGAGGCCGAGTGAGCAATCCATGAAAGATGTTGGAAGCAGTTTCAAAACTGTCAGAACAGAGTCGCTTTTATAAAACGAAACGCAGAGGAACCACCAGCATTGTGCGTGTGCACGTTGACGCACACAAATTTTCTCTTTTTATGTCCATTTTTTTATATACAGGCAGACGGTTGGGGTCAAACGGATCTTCCAGCACCAAAAATCAAACTGTACGTTTGTCATTAGACGTATGAGAATTACCCGTCGGTTGTTTTTAATGATTACCTTTTTAATTTATCCTGTGAACGATTTTAACGTAGGCTGATCACACTCAGGTATTTGCTGTAAATGCTTTTTTATGTGTTAATAAAACCTGTTTCAAACTTCAGCTGTTGCCTTAAATCTTATTTAACTTATTTCTAATTAATCTTATTTAACTTCTATCACAAAAACACAATACGTTTGTTAAAAAAAACATTTATTCAAAAAGTATATCTTGTTCTTTGCAACCAGTTTTAATCAATGACTAGCTGAGGCTTGACAGAATAAAGCATAATCTGTAGAAAAGTTACATTTTTACAATCTGAGGCAATGAGTAGAAATTTATGAAATGTGAAAATATTTCAACTTGTTTACAATTGATTTACAATAAACTTTTTTTTCCAAAATTGGGGGTTGTAAAATAAATCACTTGGAATTGAAAAATATATATTTTAGTTGTCTTATGGGTATTCGTTGTGAGTCCTTGGCTTTTGAAGAGCAAGTAACAAAATACTGAAAGTTCATGCTCAATAATCCAGGTACAAAAAAATCTAACAAAGTTACGTCAGGTCATCTGGACCGCTTCAGTTGATGAAGTTCTTTGGATGAAGGATGATGCGTTTCAACAAAAAAAATAAAAACCTGTCCAGATGACCTGACTTAGTTGGGATTTTTTTTACCTGGCTTATTGAGGATTAACTTTGACGTTTTTAACCAGTTTGGCTGCCTCAGAGGAGTTGACGGGGGAGAGGGCGGGCCCCAGAAACCATCTTATCACCATCAAACTGGTTGGCCCATTATGTGTGCGCTGCCTGTGGGACTGAGTTTATTGTGGCTCCTGGGACTGACAAAGTCTGGATGAAGGACGAAATGTCTCGGCAATAAAAAAAAAAAAAAAACTGTCCAGATGACCTGACTTAACTTTGTCTAACAAAATACTCCTTACAACAATAAATACAAAAGATTAAAAGAACCACAAATATTAAAATGTGCAAAATAAAACCCGCCAAGCCCCCAGTCAACACTGAATGTACCAAATAAGCTCCAAAAGCTCTGCAGTCGTGCAGGTTCATCTCCTACACAGTTCAAGAACAAGCCAGCCCCTGCACACGAACGTTTCATCCAGTATTTAGCCTTTAAAAGACTAATCTCCAAATTATTGAGTTCGTGTCTTGGTATTTACAATCCTTAGTGTACATGAGCAGGGCAGAAAGATTAGGCAAACTTGTGGTCCATCGCTAAGCGACTGCAGTCAGATTTCCTCAGATGTTAAGAATAATGTTCCTTGTCGTGCCAAGTCGTCATCCATGGCTTCCTCTCCGGTTTGTCCCAGTTACCATTCCGTGTGTTTACCGCTCTGTCGTCCCGCCTGATCCGAACTGCGCTGTAACTGGGAACCTCGTCTCTGAATTTGGCACGCTTAAAAAAGCCACACTGCAGAGAAATAAAAGGAAAAAAATATATTATTTCTAGGGGGAGGGGAGCTTTTCAAAAGCCTTCAAAGAAAGCAAAGCAGATGGAGATATCTGTCGTTAGTCCGTCTCAAAGGTGCCAAAATGCTATGAATCCATTGTGCGCTGCAGATGAGCCATCTGTGCACCTCTATGGAGAAAGGAAACATTTTAATACCCCAGTTTTAAAATGTAGTGTAAAAAAACCTTCACATCAAGTGACCGAATGTGCAGCAGCAATAAGACAAACTAGAAGAAATCAATGAAAAGCAGAATTTCTTTGAAGCAATAAGTAACTCAGTGATTGCTGATCAGCCGGCACCTCCCTTTGGCCATGCAAGTGTACCGATACACACATGGATCATGTGTGGAAAAATCTTCAAGGCTTCATTTCTTTTGCATAGTCATTAAGCTTCTAAATTAGTAATTGTATCAGAGAGCCACCCACTGCTTGCAAAAAACCCAGAAAGCAGCACTTGTGTAGCAGGAAGGAGCAAGACGGGGGGGAAAAGGTTGATTCCTGGCAGATCGTTATTTTACCCTCTCACTTTTTTTATGCATTTGATGTCAGCTTCTCTTTTTCTGATGGATCCTCTTTATTCTTTTTCCCAAAGACTCCACACTGAGGAAAGGAAATCGATTAGAAAATGCGAGTGATCACCGACGCGTGCACCTGCAGTTCTGCTATTGGTGCATACAGAACAGGAGTCCAACCATTTCAAACGTTTTCCCAGTGAACATGCTTCCTATATCTATGCATGTTTGTATCTGGTGTTCCTACCTTCCAAAGGAGGAACGCCAACAGGCCCAGCAGCAACAGTCCGAACAGGATGGACAGCACGATGATCCACCACGGTACTCCTCCATACTGAGCAGCACGCATCTCTGGAAACACAGTGAGTCTCACCTGGAGAACACAAAGAGCAGAACAGAAATGTAAAATAAATTGGTTTCAAAATGTCAGGCAGTAACAGGTCAATATATTTACGGAGCCACAAGTGTTTGGTGGGTGTCTCCTGATAAAATATAAGATAGAAGTGACTACCGGTAGATTAATTTTAAAATGCACAGATATCCTGTCTTCTCGATTTCAAACAAAAGTCACAAAATAGCTGAAAAACTGAGTTATAGCTGTTTGTGTTGGCTAAAGTCAATTAGAGGTGGCAGCCATCTTCAAGCAGCTTGTATAAAACGATTTTTGATTTAAAAGAAATGCAAATGTTGCTGTATTCACAATCCTGTTTGTATTTGAGCACCTGGAAATAATAAATCATATCTTGAAATGACCACAGTTAAACATTTAGATACAGGGACTAAAGCTATATATATATATATATATATATATATACATACACACATACATACATGTCCATAGTCAAAGTACACTCACTGTATATTGTTCTCTAATGAAGTGTTCAAGTTGTAAGAAGACTACCTGCACAACTTAGACCTCTGTATGTACAGATACTAAATGAAAAACAAAAAGTTAAAAATAAAATGTACATTTCCATCCCACTCTGTCTGCCAGGGCAGAATCAGTGGTGGCTGTGCACGTGTGGGGTGGTGGGTCTCTGCTCCGACTGCGATGCCGAGCGCTCTGAGCTCGCTCAGGACAGGAAGCGTAGAATAATTGGTGCTTTCTCCTGCAGTCTCTCGCAGAGTTGCGAACACTGCTTGCACCCGGGAGCACCGTACAGCAGAAAGCATGACCCGCCCTGCTCTGCTCCGATTGGCTAAAACTGTAGCTTTAATTCGCTTTATTTGCTGAAAGCATCATCACTTTAATCCTTGTATAATTAAATTAGAGAGACTTCAACAAAAAAAATTTGTTTTTTTCTGTCTTTTTGTTTTTTCTCCTCGTCATGTTTACAGTTGACAGAAATCCTACATCATTTACATAGAGATCATACACTGAATTATCATTTAGAACTTTTTGTATAAAACTTAAATAAGAAAAAAAAAATAATGTTTCTGTTTTGGATCCAGCAGGGTCACATAAATGTTCTTTTTTAAATACCTCAGTTTCAGCATTCGTCAGTACTGTGTTCTTCACTGTGCTGTCAACGTGCAGCGACGCCTTCACCACCACCTCCACGTGGTGCAACTCTGAAAATTCCTGTAAAAAACAAAACATATTTAATAAGCGTTGAGGAAAATCAAAAATATTAAAATAAAATAAAAAAAGATCTAAATAGTCTTGCTTAAAACCATTTGTGTTAATGACAGAACATCAATGATTAGACAATTAAAAATAAAATGTGGAAAAAAGACATTAAAATACAATTTCATGTTTTATTCTTCACCATTTAAAGCTGGAAAACTACAACTACCAGCAAAATAAAATAATTAAAAATAATAATAATATATATATATATATATATATATATAGTTGTGTGCAAATTTGTTTTGTTTCAGGATGAGTTGCACATATCAAAATCCTCTCAAAAATCAAACAACACCTCTGGTTACTACCTCTATGAAAGTGCTGTTCCAAAGGCGAGAGTTGACAGTGATGATTGCGTTACTGTCCAGGCCCCCCAGGGGGCACTTTATTGTCTTACAGTTTGCTCCACCGCCACAAGACTGTCCACAAATAAAACCATGTTATGACTGGATTCAGCATTTACTGGGTAAAGATGCACATTAAAGTAAAAACAGCAAAAAAATAGGTTGTGTGTCGTTACCAAAATTTTAGATTTCTTTTTCTCAATTAAGCGTGAAATAGTGCCGTCGATCCCCTTCTGGCTGCTTCCTGCTGACCTCCTCGATCTGCTGTTAACTGGTTCCTTAAAGCAGAAAATGATTCATCACTGTCTGCACTTAGGTCAACATCCTTACTCGTCAAAAAAAAATCCTAAACATAAAACTGTTTAAACGTCTTTTAATATTTTAAATTAAAGGACTAGCATTCCCTGAAGGAATGCATATCGCCCGCTCACCCTCATGCCAGAGGTTTGCACTAAAACCATCTTATGATGAGAAAAGTTAGAGTTGTAGTCGTTTTGGTAAAACTTTGAAACTGACATTATTCACAATCTCATGCCATACTGAGAGATCTCGCAAGATGTGATGGTGTTCAGCGAATGTGCTGAGGACGACTCTCAGAGTTCCTCTTAGCTACTAATGCACCTAATTTTAACTGATTTTCAGTAAAAATTGGTACATTTGTAGCCATTTTGTGGGAGTTCTGCCCTGCCAGCTCCCTGCAGCCACATCTGAGCACCAATCAGCAGCACCTGAGGATCATCGGCTTGATGAGCAAGAGGAGCATAAAAGGCTGCAGAGGACATCCAGTCAGCGCTGGAGCATTATCTGTCAATGGTAGTTGTGTTCTAGTCTTTTACATGTGAGTTTAACTAATGAGTAATAGACTTTATACTCTTAGTGCTTTCAGTATAATCCCCGATGTCCTCCCGTTTTCTGGATTCTCCTCTGTGGACCTCAAGCTCTCCTGTGCCTCCTCAGCTGCCTCCACACCTTCCTACTACTCGCCTAACTCCTGCCTGGAACCATTGTTCAGACGCTCACCTTCTTTGCCCTGAAACCATTGGGTCACCTTTCCCTGCAACTGACTCGTATCCCTACTGGTTCCAGCTCCCTCCCTGGCACATTTGATGAATTATCACGTTGTAAATAAATACTGTAAACCTATTTGGAGTCTTGGTATCTGTTCTCTTCAGTTCTTGTATCTGGGTGTAGCTGCAATCATCACAATTTTTAGTAATCAAAAACTGAAATTTAAAGATATGATAGAACAACAACCACACATTAGTTTGTGCTCACTATATTAAGAGGGTTGATCTCCTCTTTTTGAGTGCACTTAAATTGTTCCACTCCTTTGGAGCTGATTTTCATCAGGTAGAGCAGCCACTTTCCATTCATCGTCTCCTTTGGCCACTCTATAACGAGGGTCACACTTCCGACGTCTGTCAGTCGCTTTCCCAGGTTAATAATCTGTAAAAACAGGATCATAGTTCCTTATCAGTTAATGGATTATTACTTATTTAAGTAGCAAATAAACATTTTTGGTTGAATGCTAAATTCAATACATGTTTGTGCATCAGAAAGACACGCAGCTTCCCTGTACTTACTCTGAACAAGTGTGTGATGGCACCGCCAATTTCGCTTTCAGTTTTCATGGCCGAATCACCTTTGACCTCTCCACTAAAGTAGATTTGAGATGGTTGGACTTGTCTGTGGGGAGGAAGGTGCACAGTTAGCGGTCTGAATCAGGGCATGTGTGTGTGTGTTTTCTGCACGCATGTGGATTTTCTTACCCTGATAGGGTCAGCTGCAACACGATGGCCACCTTCGCCTTTGCTTTGACGAGACTTAGATTCGGCTGGGTACTCGTCCTAGTAAATGTACATACAAGACTAACTCAAATACTCTGAAGGATTTATTAATGATATATTATACTTATATTAAAGAAGGTGTAATGCTATTAGTTGATTCACTGATATTTAATATGTTGGGATGGACGTTCTAACACTTACGTGTTTAACTGCAGGTTAATTTCCACTTCGGTGACACCAAGAGAGATACCAGCTGTACTCACAATTATGTAGAAGGTTGTCTGAATACACACACACAGTTTTTTTTCGAGCGTTAACAATGACAAGTGTATGAAAAAAGTTAAGTTAAAAAGTGTCAAATAGTTTTTTTTTTTCTCACTTTTGCGCCACCCTTGAAAGGATTTCCGAGCTCACACTCGGCACTAGAACCATTTGTATTTGCTTTACAGGAGACTGGCAGCTCCTGTAGTCAAGAGCACATCCCAATCAGAACCAGGTACTCATAAGTGAGTGACAGCGTGTCAGGGACTTACATTAACTGAAACACGGTAAGCAGAGTAGGTCAAGGAGTTGGGAAAGTTTATGATCACCAACGCTTCATATGCATCATCTTTATCCAGATTGGTTACCGTGACCTCCAAGGCAATGTCCTTTTGGGTGCTGAGTGAGATCACCGGCACGCCATTCTCCCTATAAAAAGACTGAATTATACATCTGTATTTTGACAAGTCTTACAAAGTTATTTTAGAAACCTCCTCTAGTGTATGATTGTGTGTGTGTGCTCTTACAGTGGTAATGGAGTGAACGTATCTTCATCAGTGGTCCTGTAGCCGTAGCGATATTTCACCTGCAGGTTGCTTTCACACACGTCGTCACTGCCACACCCCTCTTTCAAGAATCCCACCTACCAACATGTCGACAGTTCTATATTTATGATCTATATCTATAATAATAATTAATCTATACTTAGACGTGCATGTAAATAAAAACACAATGCAAAGCTTACAAGCCCAGATTTAATTTCCAATAGAACACAGTTAAAACTCTAATGCGTAAAGAAACTAGAGAATATTTTGGAAAAAGTAAGGTTATATTGAAATTTATGGCAGCAGCACACATCAATATTGTGGGTAGAGGGCCATGTTTCCCTCTGTGAATTATCTCTTCTATTAACAACAGTGAGTAAGCATCTAGAAACTGAGGAGAGCAGCTGCTGGAGTTTTTGGAGGGACATTTTTATCAATGTTTCCTTTAGCTGATCCATGGTCGATGTAAACAACACTTCTGTTCCATTATTGTCTGATGTAGGATTATAGCTATTTAACAAGCCTAGGTCTTTGCTGGATTTTTTTTTTCTTTCATGATGCTTTAAATGTTTTCAATTGGTGAGAAGTGTGTGGACTCCTGGCAGGTCATCTCAGCACCTGGACGTTTCTATTACAAAGCCATGCGGTTGTTATGAATGCAGTATAATGTTTAGTACTTGCGGAAATATTCAAGTCCTTCTCTGAAAAAGACGTCATCTGTAAGAGAACATATGTTCTAAAATGTATATACTTTTCTGCATAGATATTGCCTTTACAGATGAGTAAGCTGCCTGTGAAATAGGCATTAATGCACACCCATACCATCAGAGAGGCAGGTTTTTGAACAGTGTGCAACCATAGTTTCTAAAAAGAATGTCAAATTTCTAATCCTCTGACCACAGAACAGTTTTCTTCTTTGCCTCAGTCCATTTTAGCTGAGCTTTGGACCAGAGAAGACGGCAGCATTTAGAGCTATGATTTTCTCTTTGCATTACAGACTTTAACTGCATTTGTGCAAAGCACAGCAAACTGGGTTTATAAACACTTATTTGTCGAAGTGTTCCTGAGTCCATGCAGTGATGTCCATAACAAAACAAGACCTGTTTTTAATGCCTTAAGAGCCTGAAGGTCGTGGGCATCCAATACTGACTTTCAGCGGAGTCCTTAGTTTAGAAATTACTGCAGAGACTTTACATATTTGGATGATATTATGGACTGTAGATGGTGAGATATTCAAATTCTTACAAATTTTCTGTTGAGAAACAATATTCTGAAATTGTTACACTATTTCTAGACCACAAGTTTCCACAGACTGGTGAACCTCTGCCCATTTTTACTTCTGAGAGAACCAGTTTCTCTGAAGTGTTCTTTTCCTCTTGCTGACCTGTTGCAAATTAATTAAACCTTAAATTAACCTAATTAGTTGTCAAATGTTCTTCCAGCTGTATTTTATTCATTCCATTATATTTTAGTCTTTTTGTTCTCGTCTCCAACTTGTTTCAAATGTTGCAGCAACAAAATAAAAAATACACTTTTTTCCTAAAAATTAAACAATGTCTTACTTTAAACTTTTTATGTGTATTTTTGTTCCATTAATAATACAATGTGTTCATGAGATTTGCAAATCTCTGCATTCTGTATTTACTTACATTTTACATTATATCTCAACTATTTTTTTTTTAATTAGAGTTGTACTTTTTGAATAGGGAGAGTGAAAACACATTTACAGTGACATTGACGTGTTTTACAAACACACCTTTTCTCGAGTTTTCATTTGATCTTTGGCGTCCAGGACAGGTGAGAGTTGAGCGGTGGAGCTCTGTCTGCGTTTACGTTGAGCATCCTGGATGTTCACGGACACGTCAATGGGGATTGCACGTAGCTTGTCTTTAATATTTTCCTGTAGGATGAAAAGAATCACACAAAATCTATCACAACTACACAAACAAGACACTTTTAGATCCAAATAATGCTAAAAAATAGGAATACCTGCAAGACAAGCTTTTGTGTGACACATTCTTTCTTTCCTTTTTCCTTCATGACAATGATACCACTGGACTTATACTGATCAGAACCAGAAGGCTCTGTGAAAAATGCCCTGGGTATGAGGCCATTCTTCCTGTGATCTGCATCCACCTCAAGAGAGTATTTTACAGCTTGATGGGAGAGAAGAAGCGACACAGTGCAAGACAAAGCAATAAATGAGAGTGGCTGCTAGTTACTAGATGGAGTTGACTTCTGATTTGGTGTGAGTGGAAAAATAAAAATTTATTTAACTCAGACAGTTTTTCGCTTTAGAAAAAGTACTCAAGAGTAAATATTACTCAGCTTACTCAGTGTAGGAGTGTAGCTGTTTGGAGTTGCATCATAGTAGAAGCACGCTTTCACTTCCAAGCTGGAGAAACAATTAGAGACAAAATTAGCATGTTTGCTTTTAAACTAAATATCGATAAAGGTTTAAAATTTGAAAACAAACACTAAGTAAAATATTATATTGGTATATTCTATAATAACGTCATGATATACAGTGACACAATGATTAAATGTAACCCAGTTTGTCTCGAAATCTTTCAGTGTTTCCCCTTTTTAGGGGTCACCACAACAAACTGTAATTAGTTTGGACCTCTAGTGTCCAGACACAAGCATAAAGGCCATTATCGTACTTTCAGTGATGTTTATGGTCAATATTACTGTATTTAGCTAATTTAAAAACAAATCTTGTATGAACGACTAGTATTTAAAATAAGCTGGAAGATGGGCAAAAACAGAAAATGTGAAAGAAAAAAAAAGTCTTAAGAATAATTCAAAATAAGTTTTTTACAGCGCATATGGATGGTTTAATAAATGAGCATCTACTAATAGGATAGTTTTTGCAGAAAAATAGTGAAACTGTCAAACTTTAATAGAATATAACAATAAACGATGGTCTATCACCTCTTCAGAGTGGTATGAGTGCTAGAGTGCATTATGCTGTCAAAAGATTCAAGGAGTTGAGCTAAATCTCTGTTTGAATGCCAACATGTTGGATGCATGTGGTTTTCGATACCACACACAAAACTAAAATGTGACTAATAAATACATCATCGACTCAGAACTTGTCATTCGAAGTAGCCCGCAACTCCATTCAAAAAGGTCAACTGAAGCTGTGCAACAAAGAGTCAAGTCTGCACAAAAACATATACAAGTTTTTTTCAAATTGTCAGAAAGAAAACGGAGACCCGTTGTATATAGTGTGAATATTTCAGTTCGCCTTGGAAAAACAAAAAACTAACAAAAGAAGCAAATGAACAAGATGTTGGATTTAAAGTGTCAAAGATCATCCAGAATCAACATCTAAAGAGAAGTCATTTTTTAATGGCTCATGAATAAAAAAAAAAAAGATGTTATCTAAATGGACTGTATTGTACTTATCTAGCACCTTTCCAGCCAACTAGGCTGCTCAAGCTGATTTACAACACAATGTGTCCTCATTTATCCATCCACATACACAATTAGCACTCTCTACAAAGCTAATCTGAATAAATGTTTCTGTGATTAAATCTGAGCTTTACATTGCATTCATACATAGATGGGGCACGTTAGCGCACCAAAGCGTTCAGTGTTATGCCAAGGGACACTTCCACATGTGACTGCACACTGTCAGGAATCAAACCTTTGATTCTCTCATAAGACAACTGCTCTAACCACTGAGTCAAAGCCATAATATGGGTTTGTATTAAAGAACTTCTACGAAATAAGTCATGGACAACAGACATACCAGACAGTGGTGCCACAGTTCTTGTTGCTCAGGTCGATTTTACTTGGTGTGAAAGAAATTTCCTTCTGGATGTTAACAACTGGCCGGGCTCTGGATATAAAGAGGTCAGTGAGCATCTCAGTAGAACACCAACAGAAGACTAGATTAATGCACTAACTCGCTCACCTGTAGACAAAAACAGAGTCTGAAAGGGATCCGATAGCCAGGTCTGGATAGGAGTTCCCATCCAGGTCCATATTGGCTGCCAAAGCGTATCCAAACAACTTCACTCCCATAGAGTTACCAGAAAGCACCTACAGCAGGAAAAACACAACATTTAGTCTGGAGTGAGTGATCTAGATCATGTATGATCTTTGGCTTATTTTTTTTTTATACTTTTAGGACAATATTCATAGGATAAAAATTACATCTTGTAAGAGCATTTTGTAAACAAAAGCCAGCACGGTGGATAAATGGACAAACAATACTATAAAAGAGGATCAGAACTAAGGATCCAAACTTCTGATAAAACCTTTAGGCAATAAAATAAAAATAAATTATTTTTTAAATTATGACATTAAGGCTAAAAATACATCTGTTTTTGTTGGATGTAACTTGGGCAAGAAGAAACTTTTTAAATCACACAGAAGTAAGCCCACACTTAAACTGGACATTTTTTAAGTGTCATTTACCCCTCCATCCCATATTATCGCTACAGCAAGTTCTGGGTCTGCCTTAAGGTTTCTTTCTTTAGCGGTATGTCCAAATTCACCTCCCAAGTAAGGTGTCCGGTGCAAACCAAGTTTTCACTTTAGCTGTACAAAGACTCTTTGCAGGGAGCTTAAAACCTTGTTTTACTCCCATACCTCCAACAAGACACATTAAGGGACCATCGTTGTAGCAAACAACCATGTCAAAAAGTCGATTGGATACATAAAGACTGGTTAGGCAAATTACTTGAAATTCCCAAACACCTTCAAGTGTCCTTGCAAGGGTAAAGAACTGGTCCAGTGTTCCAGTATCAGGACAAAAACACATTGCTCCTGATCTATTCAAGGTTCAACTATCTGCAAGACCCTTCGCTCCAGCACCCTTGCACAGACTGTCTAAGAAAACTAAAAAAGGGGCCAGTCCATGTGTCTCAATGACCTCAGCCCCAGTGATAAGAAAGACTCTCCAGGCTCTTAGACCTCTACTTCCATTACAGATGGCATTTCATTTAGGATGATACTGGGGACCTCAAAGTGCCCCTTTCATCTCATGACTTCTGTCCATGTCAGCAGCATACTGTCCCCACTGTAGACTGTGTTAGCAAAGCACCACTTCCCCCAACTGGGTCACCTGACAGCTTCTCAGAATCTCTATAAAGCTGGCTCAGCTCACCCGATTATCTAAGACGTGGGTTGAGAGCTAAGGGCAGGATGATAAAACTGATCACCTCTTCTGCTTCACAGTCTCTCTCTCAAACTCCTCCTATACATGAATTTTTGTTTCTTCAACTGTCTATGAAACAATGTGACCAGCCAGTACTGGTCAGGTGCTTCTGGATTCCCATTGGTCAACAAACTGTGAAGGACTCTCTCTTTGGTCTGCCAGTCTCCTTCACCTCAGATGTTCACCACCAGAGTTAGGACTTTTTAGTACAACAAGCAAATACTGCATTATAGCTGCAATTTCATACAGCCAGATTTGCAATGGTGGTCCAGTACGTGCCTCGGTAGAACTCCATGTCTCCTGCTTTACTGGGAATGCAGAAAAGATTCTGCCAAAAGTATGGAACTAAGTATGGTCAAAACTGTTTATCTTAAACCCATTTAAAAAACTGATAGCCTGCAGATTTGACAAAGTAAAATGTTACTATAGTCAAAAATTAGATTCTATGTTGTTATTGTACTAGTTTACATACTTGTGCAGCTTTTTTATCAATGTTTCCTTTAGCTGATCCATGGTAGATGTAAACAACACCGCTGTCTTCATAAGGAGCTCCCACTGCAAAATCTGACAGCAGGACAGTGTGGTTATACATGTTCTTAAAAGAGGGAATAATCCATACTAAAGCACTCGGGCATCCTTACCGTGGTAACCATCCTGATTAATATCGCCCAGGTTTTCCACAGTTAGGCCAAACATAGAGTCCAAAGGTCCATCTATTCTAGTAGGTTGGACTTGGTCCCATTTTCCACCTTTATTAAAATAGACGTAGATGGCTCCTCCAATTTCTCCATCCTTCTCAAAGTACTGAGGTGCTCCCACCACTATATCTTCCCACCTACCAAATGAAAGCACGACACACACTTGAGTGTACTGTACAGACAAAATAAAAATTATGACAGGACTTAAACTGTGTACGGTATGCGTCACCCAGCATCCTCACCCATCCCCATTAAGATCCAGCACAGTCACATCGTATCCAAAAGATGAGCCCAGTCCCTCCCCTTTCAGGGTGTACTCCTCTAACAAGATCCTGCTCGTCTCTTTGCCTTTCTTCAGAAGGACCACTGCTCCACTGAAGTATGCTCTGGGAGCTCCTGCCACTACGGTCAGCTGACCCTTCTTGGTCAAACTCTTTCCTGAGTCCAGAGAGAACCCTAAAAAAGCCAAAAGAAAGAGACCAAGAAATTATAACTTTCATCATCAGAGGATTGTCAGATGGCAAAACATATTTTTTGGGGGGTAATGAAGAAATTTACTTTTCATGACATATTAAGATTAAAAATGTTACCCATGTAGCTGTTAGAAGGGACAGGGACCAGGTTAGGGTTCTTATCAGTCTCATCTCCTGCTTCAAATGGTCCATCGTCAAATATTCCCATTTCCACAAAAGTGTCATTTTTTTGTTCCAAGCGTACCACACCTTGAAGAGGAGGGAATAGTTAAGATGATGTAACTAACAAAGGTGTGCTGTAACTACATGACACACATTTCTATACACAAAACTACCTTTCCAGTTGTAAGCTCCAGGAGCCGCGAAAATTAAGTAGTGAAAATCCTTGTCAAATGTAGCAGAGAGTCCTTGCTGACATGAACCAAACATCTCATGGCCTTTTGGACGGTTGTCACAAAAATGCCAGCTACCTCCATCTTCAGCTGACAGAGGATTGATAACTAAGTTCTGACTCAGCACATAGCAACGGCCGATGATGTCACGGGTTTCAAGGGGTGAGTCCACATTGTTTCGCCGCTGGTAACGATGGGCACAGGTCTATCCAAGAAAAATAATTACATAGCCAACGGAAAAAAAATAATAATGCATTTACAATGAAGATAACAAACAGGAATTAAAAAGACATTCTTACCAAAACCTTGCCTCCCGGCCCCTGACTGCTGACGGTCACCCCCAACCACTGATTGTCTTTGCTTTCTGTTTTAGAATTCTCTACAAAAGAAGACACACACGGATAGGAAAAATAAAAACAATGTAACGCCTGAAAACAAATTGTAATAAAAAATATAATTGGTCAATAGTTTTGCTCACCATTGTCATCAAAAACAACTCTTGTGCATGCAGAAGACGGTGAGCTCATTTCACATTTGTAGAGTCCTCCTGTTATTGCAGATCTCTGACCACGTAAGGCTTTTGCTCGTGGCGCTCCAACCAGCAACCTAAAACAAATGCACACGTGAACGCAGTCAGTTTGTATGCGTGCACATAATTTTATCACACATTCCAGGCCACTTGCCGCACAGCAGCCATAATTACACACCCAAATAAGCGTAAGCATCTGCCATTAAAGTCGTGCTTCATGTCCCTCACAGTCCAACGCATCAAAGACCCCTTTCAGGTTCTTCCTGTGGATGTCTGAACCAAAATTTGGCTTTATAACAAAACAAGAACACAGTAAAGTGCCACACCAAAGCTTTGATGATGAGCATCCACTTCTTCTTTTTGTGGCCGTCATCCCTAAAATGATGTTTACAACGACAAACCTCTATGCACTGTCCTCACTCTGTCCACATGTTCCAACTTCCTGTACCCCTCTGTTGACCTGTAGAGTTAACAGCATACTGTCTTTTCCTGATGAAATTAGCCAAAGCCATTTTTAGCTGGCAAACAAAGCAGCCTCTGATACACAAGACATCTGGGGGGTAATTTATTGAAAGACTGTATAGCAGAGCAAAGAGCTAAGGCCCAATGTGATCAGCAAGATTGCAGAAAAGACCGAACTTGTCCACTCTGCAAACTGTATTGGAAAGAAATGTTAAATTATGCAGCTAACTTCAGCAACAGAATAAATTATGATGATTACTTTGAATAGTGAGCAGGCGTGTGTGAAAACAGCAAAGGACTATAAATCTACTTTTGACGTGGAAAATATGGCATGTAGCCGGCACAGTTATGTGGAGTTTCTCAATGCAGCTGTTATGTATTTGAATGTGAATCTCCAACTAAATTTAATGTTTTCCAGACAAGTAACATGCATAGTAAACTCAAGAAGAGACCGTTTGCAAGACCAGTGTTCAATACTTATCCAAATTTTCACAAATGTAAAACCCTGACCAAGATTCTGAACCACAGAACCATAATTTGTGTCCTTACCCACCCAGGATGCATCCAATCAAGACTTTCTTTTAAATCTCAGAGGAAGTCAGTGGCACTTGAAATTTGATACTACAGAGTCTGGAGACATTTCAACACACCAATTTGTGTAAGTATGTGAACAGGAAAATAACAGTGTTTAACATTCTCTGAGATTATTTCTAAAAGATAAAAAAAATTAACCTGAGTTTTTTTGTTGTTTTTTGTGTGTGTGTGTGTTTCAAATGAAAGTTGAAAGATGAAAGAAAGAAAGTCAGGAGTATAGTTGAAAAAAAAAATCTGAGAAATAGAGCTTAATGCAAATGGGGTCTTTGGAGAAACGAACTTTCACACAGTATGCTCAAGCTCAGAATATGAGTTGTGAATGACTTTTTTTAAACCTCTATTTATGGTACATTTTCCAGTTATTCAACTGTCAATAATGGTGTACCACAAGGCTCACTCTCTTTACAATCTTCATAAATAATGTAGGTCAGAACATTCCTGACACATCTTTGTATTTCTGTCGATGATACAGTTGTTTATTGTTCTGCTAAAACAGTTGCTAACGTTTTCCAGCTTTTACAGTCTGCAAACGACATCATCAAGTAGGCCTGTCACAATAACAAATTTTGATGGGCAATTAATTGTCTCAGAAATTATTGCGATAAACGATAACATTGTTTGAAATTTGACAATAATTAGTAATTATTTTGGGCATCACGGTGGCGCAACTGGTAGAGCTGCTGCCTCTCAGCAAGCAGGTCCTTGGTTCAAACCCCGGTCCAGGTGGGTGGAGTTTGCATGTTCTCTCTGTGCATGTGTGGGTTTTCTCCAGGTGCTCCGGTTTCCTCCCACAAACCAAAAACATGCATGTTAGGCTGATTGGTAACTCTAAATTGTCCCTAGGTGTGAATGAGAAAGTGAATGGTTGTTTGTCTCGTTTGTCTCTATGTGGCCCTGTGATGGACTTGCGACCTGTCCAGGGTGTACCCCGCCCCTCGCACAGTGATTGCTGGACATGGGCACCCGTGACCCAAAATGGAATAAACGGGTAAAGATAATGGCTGGATGGATAGTAATTATTTTCAAATTTAAGAAGAAATGTTGTAATTTATTTTGGGTGCAGTACCTTTTTGACCACCGGATGGCAGTATAAAACTGTTTGAACAGAATGACAACTTTTTACACAAAGTAACGGGTTTCAACCGTGAATTTTGGAGCTTCGACAAGACGGAGGTTTTTTCCTGAGGTCGGCCTGTTAGCTTAGCTCGTAGCTTAGCTTCTCAGCTTAGCTGCATTTAACGATCCAAAAACGCAATTTTGGACAGTTAAAACAGATTTTAAAGAGAAAAGGAGGAGTCAGTGAAGAGCACTGGAGTTGGGCCTTTTGTCATCCAGTGTCTTCAGAAGAAAGAGAGAAACACAAAGAAACGATAAAGCCGATGAATGAAAATGAGGTTGATCATTTTCATCATGCAATTAACTGATTTATCGTTTATCGTGACAGACCTATCATCCAGTCAGATTTGTTCCATCTCAAACATGCTAAATGCTGATAAGACCAAAGGGATGTTGTTTTCAAACAAGAAGTCTGTACCATCAGTCCTTCCTCCTATTTTATCTATAAATTATATTCCTATTGAGTTTGTGGATTCTTACAAATACTTGGGAATCTTGGTCGATGTGCATCTCTCTTAAGCTGCATGTCAAAAACTTGATAAAGAAACTGAAATTAAAATTGAGCTTCATTTTCAGAAATAGATCTTGCTTACCAGTAACTTTGAATGCTAGGAAACGTCTTTTAGCTGCTACTTTCCTTCCGCCCATTGACTATGGTGACATTATTTATAGGAATGCTCCAGCAATTGCCTTGCAATTGTTGGATGCTGTCTATCACAGTGCGCTAAGATTCATAACTCTCTGTAACTATCGTACCCATCACTGCACCTTGTATTCACTGGTTAACTGGTCATCATTAACTTTATGCAGACTCTCACACTGGTACATTTTCATCTTTAAATCACTTCTCGGTCTGTTGCCTTTATACAGTATTTCTCCTCCTACATGTCACGTCATCAGTGCAGCTACAGCGTGCGCTCTCAATACATCATTACCTGCAGCTTCCCCTCAGTGCGGTCTGAGCTCTGCAAAAAGGCCTTTTCTTATTCTGCTCCTGTAACCTGGAACACTTTGCAAAAAGATCTGAAGCTGTCCACTTTGACCTCTTTAAGAGATTTTAAACAATTGTTGTTTCAATGCAAAAATCAACGCAGACATGTTTCTGTTTTTAGTATTTTACCTTGTTTCATAATGTAGCTGGATTTTGTTTTGTTTAATAGCACTACTTTTATTTGCTTTTTATTTTATATGCATTTCATGGCTGTTTATTGTTTTAGTGTACCTTATCTATGGTTTTGTCTACAACAGGCCTCTCCTGAAAACGAGTCCTCGTGACTCACTGACTAACCTGTATAAATAAAGGTTGAATTAATTAATTTATCCTGATTAGTCAATTGAAAACTCATTCTCATTTACAACAACAATCTGGCCAAGAGACAACTCTGAGCTACCACCAGATTGTATCTCAAAATCTGTAAAACTGAATGAGATCTGGATCAAGACAAACACTTAGACCGTGGCCCTTTAAACACACAGATCATCTCTGATGGTTTTGGGAAAAAAAACATCCTATTGGGAGAGGCGTTATGTTTTTGTAGTGGCAAACTTTCTTCTCGTATGGGCACAGACTGTTGCTCAGCATTGAGCTGTGGCACTTTATCAACTTCCAAATGAGTTGCAGATCCACAAGTTTGTGATGCAAGTGCCAACCCTTTCCCTCCATCCATCTGTCTGGACCGAGCCTGCTGATTCCAACTGGTTGAATCCTGCTTGTATTTGGTGCCCAGATGTAAAACTGATTTACGTTTCTTTCAGCATTCCTTAAACCATCACCCCTTTCTTCCCTTCAGCTCCTTTCACTTTGAAGTTGGATAACCTTAAATAACCCGAGGGAAGGGCAATATATCTTTATCAACTGCACACACCACATGCTAGCACACACCGTGCTAGGCTTCAGCACACATCATGGCCCCTCCCAGTCTCTTCCACTACTTAAGATGCCGACAAGTGTTTCTTTCTCCTTCCGTCTCCTCGTTTTACTACTTTTATAATCAAACACACACACATGCATTAACTGTCTCCCACATACAGTATTTCTCACACTGAGCTCAGTTTCTGAAACTCTCCCAGGTGTGTAAGTGCTGATTCATACTATGGTTTTCATGGTTTTTCTTGATATTTCTGCAATATGGCTACTTCTGTTATAGAACCTTTTACTGGTCATTTAAGTTACAGAATTGTATGCACTCCTATATTTGTTCCTATTTTTGGAATAAATATAAAACGATGCAAAAAATATTTGATACAGTAAAAAACCTAAAATTATTGTTTTAAATAAATGGTCTATTTGTTTACATTGTTGTTTAATCTTTTCAACTTGTCAGTTGCATAAATGAAACAAAATTTTATAGAAAAGCATTTCTGAATTGAAAATCAATTTTGAATCAAATCGTGACACCAAAAATCAGAATCGAATCGCCAGACACCGAGAGATTTGCACCCCTACTTCTGTTTACTTTGTGCTATGTTAACCATTCATACATCAACATGTTCAGCTCACTTACCAGATGGGTGTTCTGACTTCATACAAAAAAAGTTACTTTATTTCCGCATATTTTTCCTCAGAAATGCATTAAAATCTCTTCAGTTCCTTCAAAAACTTTTTCTTTGAAATCTGCTGCAGCAAACTTTCTTTCATTTCCTTAGCCTACTTTAGGATTTCACTACTGCTCAACCTATACCTTTAAAATAATTTGCTACTTTACTAGACTTTGTTGCTTTTATCTAGCGTTTTCTTACTTTTCAGTTTAGCTAGCATTTTGCTACTCTTAGCTTCTTAACTTATTTTTTGTTACTTTTAGCTTTTGATACTTTTAATAAGCCTTTTTTATTTTTAACTCTTTGCTACTACTAACTAGTACTTTGCTACTTTTAGCTTCAAGCTAGTATTTTTTTACTTTTGGCT